CTTCCAGGGCTGGGGCAGCCACAGCTTCTCCAGGCAACCTGTGCCAGGGCCTCATCATCCTCACAGGGAAGAATTTCTTTCCAATATCCAACTAAACCTACTCTCTGTGCATTTAAAACCATTCCTCCCGTCCTCTCACTCCAGGCCCTTGAAAATAAACTCTCTGTTAACACCCAGAAACCCTGATCTCAGCTGGCCCTGGTGTTTTTACAGCCATTTTTAATCCCAAACACATCTCCTGGACTTAAAAACTCTGTTGAGACAGTAGTAAGACGCCAAGGTGGTAGAAGATTCCCTGCTGGATGGGTCCATGTGGATGTGTGTGTGTGGCTATTTTTTTTCCCACAAGAACTTGATTGACTAATGTCTGTAGATCCCGAGAGCCAGCAAAAGATCTGCTCTGATATCCAGAAAATTTTACAAGGGGCGGCAGGCTTAAAAGTGGTGGGAAGAAGCTGAGTGTGCCAGGATGTTGGAATGAGAAAGCCATCAGGAATGTGCCTCGGAGAACAGCTGCTACTGCAGCCCTGGCAGGAACCTCCAGGAAAGCTGCCTGGGAGCAAGGAGAGGGACTCAGAGATCACAGCTTGAGACAAGGGAAAGGTTCTCTTTAGTCAGTTAGTTAGTTAGCTAGTTAGTTAGTTAGTTAGCTAGTTAGTTAGTTAGTTAGCTTTCCCTGTCTCTGCTTTCGCTTCCCTCCTCTCTCCCAGCACTGTCACAACAAAGTCAGAGCACCTTGGAGAAGAACTTGCCTCTGGTTTGTGCACTTGGGACTCTTCCCTTCCTCCCCACTGGAGCACTGAAAAGTGAATGATATAAAAACCCTGGACCTTTGGCAATAAAGGAGATTTCTGTCCATAATTCAGGAGTCCATGTAACATCCCATTCCATCTGTACCCCACCATCCCTCAGCACGGCTCGTGCAACACAGCTTTCCCTCTCCCCAGAAAAAGGTGCTCCCTGCACTCCCTTCTCCCTTGAAACTACTTTTTTAAACCTTTTTACCACAGGAACATCTATTTTTATCCCCCACTTAACACCTTCTGTCCACCTACACAAGCGCAAGCAATTAGAACAAAATATGCAAAACAAAAATGGGGGAATTCACACATTCCAACTCCAAGCTTAGTCCCCTTAATTAGCCACTTTCCCAGGATCCATCTATCTCTGGTCTACAGGGCCAGCACATTAACACTGTTACTGCTGAACACCCCGGGATGGTCTTTTGGCTAAAATCAACACTGGAGTCAGCTTAGGGTTTGCTAGATTTCCTTTTCCAGTCTCCATAGCCAAATCTGGAGGGATGATGGATTCAGGAAAATCCAGCACCTCTCAAGAGGAAGCTGGAGGGAGGTGAGAGGGTTTCCACTGCAGTGCTGTGACTGGCTAATGCTTCTTTGGGAAAGAGGGATAATGGGAAAAGTCCTCAACCAGCAGCTGTCCAGGTGTGGGGGGAAATGTCCATTCCCAGACAGCTGAGGAGAAACACTGAAAACATCCCGTGGTTTTGGCTGCTGGGAGAGCACATGGAGCACATGGAGCTCATTGTCCCGAGAGCACGGACAACAAACACCTGGGTGGGTTTGGGGGAGCTGGGTCAGTGTGGGTTTGGGGGAGTGGGTCAGTGAGTGTTTGGAGGAGCTGGTTTGGTGTGGGTTTGGGGGAGCTGGGTCAGTGAGTGTTTGGAGGAGCTGGTTTGGTGTGGGTTTGGAGGAGTGGGTCAGTGTGGGTTTGGAGGAGCTGGGTCAGTGAGTGTTTGGGGGAGTGGGTCAGTGAGTGTTTGGAGGAGCTGGTTTGGTGTGGGTTTGGGGGAGCTGGGTCAGTGAGTATTTCCCTGTCACAAGCCTGCAGAACTCCTTCCCTCCTCTCCCAGGATCCAGCCGGGACAGCAGGATGAGCCCTGTGCTCGGTGTAAAGCCCAGCAGTGCAGTGGCCGCATGGAGGGCAGACTGCTGGGGTCTCCAATTCACTGCTGAGGTCTCCAATTCACTGCTGGGGTCTCTATATCACTGCTGGGGTCTCCATTTCCCTGCTGGGGTCTCCATTTCCCTGCTGGAACCCGGCACAATCCCCGATCCCTCCCCCTTCCCTTCCCTGTCCCCGAGGGACTCTATTATACCCCCCGATCTGTTCACACTCCTGATCCCTCGGCGTGTTTGCACACACTGCTGACCCAGCCTTTATCTGCAGACATAAGGGTCTCTGTGTGGAGCTCCCACAAGGGCTATTAATCGTTTAGATGTCAGAGTCCCCCAGCTCCGAACCCTCCCTTCCTGCTCCTCCCCTCCCCTTCCATCCCCCCACCCTTTTCATGCTCTCTGAAGGTGGAGGGGGAGAAAAAAAAATACTTTTATAAAAATTCACACACAGAACTTGCAAACTTTGCAAAATATGATCTGCTCCCCTGGGAAAAGTTGGTAAATGGTGGGATTTGTCCTCAAATATCAACCAGAAACAAACACACTGTTCCCTCCTAAGCAAAGGGAGGAATTTCTCCAGCAGAAAAGAGAGCACCAAATGCCTTGCCAAGTACAGGAAAGTCTGGCTCCTGGTTCCAACGTGGAGTGAACCCTCAAGCTGGTACCTCTGCAAGGGGCCAAATCCAAAGGGCCTATCTGCAAATCTGTGGGAATGTAGGATAGAATATGCTCAGCTGGAAGGGACCCATCAGGATGATCAAGTCCAGTGTTGAACCAGAGAATATTCTGAGTTGGAAGGGACCCACAAGGCTCATTGAGTCCAACTGTGAAGTGAATGGCCCATGCAGGAATCAAACCCACATCTCTGTTGTTATTGGTACCACGCTCTGACCATCTGAGTTCATCTCAGGGTTCATGCAGAACTGGATTTAAGGCTCAGATCCTTGTGGATGTGGATCTGCAGAAGTGTGTCCATGTCACCACCTTTCAACACCCCCTCAGAATCACAGAACATGCTGATCTGGAAGGGACCCACAGGGATCGTCAGCCCGACCCTCAGCCCTGCACGGGACCATCCCCTGAGTCACACCCTGTGCCTGAGGACCATCCAAACCCTCCTGGAGCTCTGGCAGCCTTGGGGAGCCTGTTCAGTGCCCAACCAGCCTCTGGGGGAAGAACCTTTTGCTGAGACCCAACCTGACCCTGCCCTGACACGGCTCCAGCCGTTCCCTGGGTGCTGTCCCTGCTCCCCCCAGAGCAGAGATCCCTCTTGTCCAGCAGCACCCTCTCCTTGCCCAGGGTGACCAGGGAGCTGTTCCCCAGGCTGTTCCCCCGTGCTGACCCTCCTCACCTGCACACGGGCCTCGGTGAGTTTGGTCCTCTGGGCCAGCTCCTCACGGGTGTAGATGTCGGGGTAGTGGGTCCTCTCGAAGGCCTTCTCCAGCTCCTCCAGCTGCTCAGCCGTGAAGGTGGTTCTGCTGCGGCGCTGTTTGCGCTTCAGGGGCAGGTCTGGCTCAGATTCCACGTCAGAGCCTTCATCCAACCTGTTACCTGGGGAGGGAGAGGAATGGGAGTGAGGTTTGTGTGGTTCAAGGTCAGACAGAGGCTGTGGGAAGAGCGGAGCAGCCCAGAGAAGTAATCCTGGTTCTCCTGTTGATCAAAGCACTGAATCACAGACACTCCAGTTTGGGTTGGAAGAACCTCAAAGCTCATCCAGTTCCACCTGCCATGGGCAGGGACACCTTCCACCAGCCCAGGCTGTTCCAAGCCCCGTCCAACCTGGCCTTGGACACTTGCAGGGATGGGGCAGCCACAGCTTCTCTGGGTAACCTGTGCCAGGGCTTGCCCACCCTCACACAGTGCCCGTGTACAACACATCTGCCAGATTTATGTTATTTATGTTGTTTCCTACTATTATTTTTTCCCACACTGCAAAGAAAACTTAGGAAAATCAAAACTCCCGCAGGAAAACGGTGGCTCGTGGTCCTCGGTTCAAATTGTTACAGAGAAAGAACTTCCAGTTGTTGACTTATTTCAAGAAATTTCCATTTTTTAATTTGAAATTACTGTTTCAGAGGCGCACATTTGACACTGAAAAATGTCGAAGCTGAAATAAGCACATAAAAATGTCACATAAAAATGCTTTGGCTTGTGCTGCCTCATTTTCTCCTGTGTTTTGTCAAGTGTTGGTGTTTAATATTTCAGCTCTTTTAAACCACTTTAGGAAGCAAAAAAAAAGAACAATCAGGAATTCTTACAGGTGGAGAAAAACCTTTCCAGCTCTGCTTTACCTGTAGGTTGGGCTGCCCACAGGATATAGTTCCTCAGCTCTTAAATTCCCCCACTTCAGCAGGAGTTTTGCACAAGACCAGACTCCTACAGAGTTCAGATGCCATCGGAGTCCTTTCCCAATGACTAATTGGTCACTTATTCCTTGGCTTTCCCTGGACCTGTGCCTTTCCCTTCTCCCTGCCTCGAGCCTGGCACCACATCTGTTGCCTCCTGAGGCCCAAAGAAGTACAGCTGGAATAAGTAAATGCAGTTTTCCTCCATTTTTTCCCTCTGGAGATACAGCAGAAGGCACTACATTGATGTTCCCCAAGTGTTCAGTGGATTTTGGAGGGGGCACAACCAGACCATGGAGCTGTGACTCCAGTGTTTGCTCTCATGGAACAAATCTCGTTACAAGACACAACGTGCAGGTCTCAGTTCCCTGCAATGTCTGAAGGATCTCAGCCAGGCCAAGCTTCGTGTCTGCCTTTGGGACAGGGAGAAACGTGCCCCTGGTTTGTGGCAGCAGGAGAGGAACAACCTGAGAGATGATACCCTTGAGGCAGGAGAGAGATGTGGTCTCTGTCACCTTTTCCTTCTCTCTCGTGAGAACAGGAGGCTCTATAAAGTCACTGATTTCTTTTCCCTACCAGGCTTGACTTCTGTCTTTCAGAGGAACCACAGAGCCAGAATCAAACTGTGCTCACAGAGAAGTAATTTTTCCTTCTGGGTGAACCTTTGCTAATCTAAGGATTAAATCAGGACTTCCATGTGCTCAACTTGACGATAAAGTTCCCTGAAGTTCCTCACGGTGTTTTTCAGCCTCTATATCATCATCTTCCAAAAATCTGCCTCTTTCCTTGTCAGGGCTGGGAACGGCAGCTGTGATTCCCCAACAGCTGCCGGGGAGCGGCGGCAGTTTGAGGAGTAGGAGGCAAATATCCCCTCGGAGCTCTCTTGTTTATACTGAGATCACCACAAAATGCCTCTGCATTCAAAACAAAAACGCTTTTATGTCCCGGGGCTTCACGGGGAGGACGTGGGACCTCGGATAACGCAGTTGTGCTGGAGCCAGGGCAGCTCTGCTGCAGGGGAGTGGGTGGCTTGTTTTGGGGGCAAAAACATCACCCTAACAGGTTTTTCCTCCTTCTGCCTCTGGCTTACCAATAAGTACGTAAGGGTCTTTACATACATTCATCTTTTAGACCATCTTTTATTTCTTCATTTCTCACCAAAAGCAGTGAGAAATTTGCTTTTGACCTCAGAGGAGCAGCCTCTGCCCCACAGTTTAAAGACAACATTACTGCTCGTGGCAAAAACCTGCTACTAAACTAGTTTTTTGGTTTTGTCCACTTTCAGGGAAGGTCTGGAGTGTCAAATAAAAGGAACATCTGCACTTGAAAATAAAAGCCCTCCACATCTGGGTCCCACATGATTCAGGACAGGTAGAAGCACATCTGGGCCCTGGAGTACCATGCTGTGCAAAAGCACATCTGGAAACCTAGAGCATTCAGTAAATTTAAGTTCATCACTGAAGTGATTATTAATTAGTTTGTGTCTTTCCTGGTAATGTTGGGTATGGAAAAATAATAAGGACAGAGGTGTGTTTGTGTCTAGGGTGTGAGAGAGCCAGTGTGAGGAAGGGGAAGGAAAACACAGAGGAAGGAAAATACTCAGATTTAAATGTCCTATTTCTCTTTAGTTACTACCCACCCAGGTGTAGTTAGGACACACACTACACACACTTAGTAGGAACTGGCAGCCTGTGAGCTCTTTAGCACAAGAATGGTTGTTTGGGTGTTTCACCAAAGCCCCAAACAGGCAAGTCCTGTCATGAGAGTGTAATCATGGCTGAGGTCTCCCCTTGCCCCTGCCCTGGCAGCAGTGTCAGATCATCTCCCTACAGCTCATCTGCTCATCTGATCCAACTGCTGGGATCCAGGATCTCCCTGGGTGAAGGAAAAACAGTCTGGAAAAGGATCTGCAACTTATTTCATCTCCCACACTTCACTTCTGTCTGCAGAAGTCCAGAAGGGAAAACAGCCAAACTTCCTGCACCAGCTTTGAACTCCTCACTGAGGATCCCTGATTTGGCCACGAGGTTTTGGGAGAGGGTGACTGATTGTCATGAGGAGTAACCTTTGCCACCCACAGCCATCAGTGCTGCCTACAGGGTTAAGGCCAACCCTTGCCAAGTAAACTTCCCTATCCCCAAGCCTCCCAACAGCCCCCGCCTGGCATTATCCCCATTTCCCAAGCGTGGCAGGGACGGCGGAACTCACCCACCTACGGTCACCCCGTGAGTCAGGAGCAGAGCTGGGAACAGAAGCCACAGCTCCTCGTGCCAAGTCCAAGGCTCCAACAACCCGACTACAAAGATGAAACCAAGAGAGCAAGAAAAATCCCAGGATATGTGTGGAACCAGCTGGTCTGACACGGAGCAGCTGCTCCTGTCACACAGGGAATCAGGGAAGAATAGAGAAAGTCTTCCAGCTGGGATGGGCTGGTCGAGCCTGTTATCCAACACATCCCTGCTATCGTGGACAGGCTCCCTCACCTGCCTAACGAGCAATTCCACAGGTCTGTGCCCTTCCTGACCAGCTGGAATACCTTGGACAAACCATTTCCAAAATCTCCCAAAGATTCCACCCAACTAGAAGCTCTCAAAAGCTGCAAGAATAACTCAAAGAGACTCCCTCGCTGGGGATTCACCCAAAATTTAAACACTTCGTTTTTTGCAACACATCCCTGTGTGAAAAATGGTTGTGAGCAGGGGAAATCCTAGTTTCCAGCCCCCAGCACAACGGGATTATTGCTGTAGGAACAATCACGAGCTGGTAGCGTTTTACACTTACTCAGCACAAGCAACAATGTAAATAAGAAGGTGGAGAAATATCTAGAAGCAGCTTCTTGGGTGGTTTTCCAATCAGTTGTTGTGATGAAGGATGGGAACCAGCTATCTGTCCACCAGGGACCTCCCCCAGGATATCCCACCGGGAAAGACTGACAGGAAGGAGCAGAAAGGGAACGTGAATGGAGGAAAAACATCTCACAGCAGAACAAGTCCAAGAAAAGGAAAAAACTTAAGGAAAAGCATGTGTGTTACACACACACTCATCCCACTAGATTTTATATTTTAAGAGCAAAAATTCCACCTTTATTTTTTGTGTAACTGCTCTGTAGCTCAGGAAGAAAACAAACTGCTCAAACCTCTCTGCTTTGCAATACTTGTAGAACTAAAAAGGCACAGACTTCATCATGGGAGTGAAAGCAGGGGGATGCCAGGGTGAAAATTAGTTGGCTCTTCCCTCTTCTCCCGAGGAACTGTGCCAAGGTACAGGTACCTTCCTGGGGCAGAGACACAACCTGGCTCGTGCAAGAGGGGAGAGATAACCACGTGAAGGGACTTGCTGAAGGTCTGTGTGGAGCAGAGTGGAGTTCTGCTCTGCAGTGGGCTGGGGAAGATGGGATGAACCCCAGTGGTTGTTTCTGCCCGTGGACACGAGTGTGGCCAGAGCTGGTGTGCAGGGGTGAGGGCAGGATGGCCCAGCAAAGGTGACAAAGAGAAGCCTGGGCACGTCCTGGGAGCCATTCTGGCCCGAGGAAATGTGGGAATTACCTCCCCCAAACTCCCATTCCTCAATAATGCTGCCAGTTCAGGATGGGTACAACTAGAGAGAGCTGGGCAGAGCTCTCTGAAGGGATTTGAGAGGAGTAAAGGGAGCTGGAGCTGGAGGAAAGGACTGAGAAAACCCTCAGTAATTACAGCCTGGTTGTGTCCTTCCTCTCCCCATTCCCTTCCCTCCTCTACTTCCCTTCCACCCCTCTGCCTTTCTCCTCTCCATTCACTGCTTCTGGACTCCTCTTAGCCCTGGAGTTAAATTAATCAACAGGATTAGGTGGAATCGGCCACAACAAGACCCTCCAGGCTCAGCCTGAGCCCTTGATGCTCTACAAGGACCTGCTGCCCTGCCTTGAAGCACCTTGGAGCCGTCTGGAAGGATTGGCAGAGAGGACCAGACATGGAAACGCATTCATTAAAGTGGGGGTTGGATTTTGTCAGAGGGTAAAGGGGAGCTGCACACTATTCCTCATCTCATTTCCTCTCTTTCTTTCTTCCTTCCAGCTGCACCATCCTAAAAATTAAATGTGTGTTGGAGGGGAGAGATGGAGAGGGGGGAAGGGTCTGGGTTTGTGAATGGCTTGGCTACAACTGCACCTCCTGTGCTGCAATTGGCTTCAGCAAACACACCCCAGTACAGCTGGAGCAGCAGAGATGC